ATTGAGTATTCTGTTAGAACTCAATGATTATCCTAATTATATTTAATATTTTTTATATTTAAAATGAGATGTTTATCTTATATTTGATTATGTTTATCTGCAGTTAGTTACACAAATTCAAAGATAAAGCTTTAATAAGTTGTACTTACGCATAACTTACTTGTAATTTTGAATTTTAAGTAATATGCATTAATAAATAGTACTTCGTGCATAAAAAATGGTTTTTAAGAGTTTTTGTCAAATGCTTTATAATATAGTATGGATAAACATTTCATTTTAAATTTATAAAATCTAAAATATAATTAGGATAATCATTGAATTATTGAATTCTAACATAATACTAAATTATTATCCGTATAAAAAATTATATTATTAAATCAAAAATAAATTAATTCGTTATTAAATCTAAATTAAATTATAATAAAAAAACTGAATTAGAGAAACTACACAAAGTACGAATTTTTAAATAGTTAATTTGATACTAATATTGATATAGTTATTTTAAATAAAAAAATAAATTAATTCGTTATCGGATCTAAATTAAATTATAATAATAAAAATTGAATGAAATAAACTATACAAAAATAAGAACTTTTAAATAGCTAATTTGATACTAATATTGATATATTTATTTTTGAAACTCTATGATATCTTCAAATTTATATTTTATTCAAAAATAAAAATATTATTCCTTTCTCAAAACCACATAAAACTCATATTAAAACATCTACAAAGACGGAATAAAACGAAATATTAAAATCGAGATATATTTTGTTGTATTGTGTGGGTACCCTTCTAGTTTTTTTATAAAGATAATAATTAGTATTTTGTTAGAATTCAATAATTATCTTAAATATATTTTAGATTTTTTATATTTAAAATGAGATACTTATTCAATATATGATTATGTTTATCTGCAGCTAATTACACGAACTCAAACATAAAGCTTTAATAAGTTGTACATACGCACTATTTACTTGTAATCTTGAATTTTAAGTAATATGCATCAATAAACAGTACTTAATGTATAAAAAATAATTTTTAAGAGTTTTTGTCAAATGCTTTATAATATAGTATAGATAAATATGTTAATAAAATTATAAATATGAGTGATTTATTTATAAATATTAAAATAAAAATTCTAAAAGGAGAAATATGTTTATCTGTATAATAGAAATCAATTCAATAATAAATAAGTTTTTAGCAATTAACTAAATCATCACATATATACTATATTATAAACCATTTGACAAAAACTCTTAAAAACATTTTTTTATGCATAAAGTATTGTTTATTAATGCATAATACTTAAAATTCAAGATTACAAGTAAATTGTGCATAAGTACAACTTATTAAAGCTCTATGTTTGAATTCGTGTAACTAACTGCGGATAAACATAATCAAATAGAGAATAAACATCTCATTTTAAAATATAAAAAAATCTAATTATTGAGTTATAAAAGAATACTTAATTATTATCTTTATAAAAAAATATTATTAAACCTAAATTAAGTTACTTCGTTACGTTAAATTAAACTATAATAAAAAAATTCAATTAAAAAAAATACACAAACAAAAACTTTTAAATAGTTAATTTGATATTAATATTGATATATTTTTTACAAATTTTATATGATATTTTCAAATTTATATTTTATTCAAAAATAAAAAAATTATCGTTTTCTCAACACATAAAATCGTATTATTAGACATAGATAAAAAAAAACCGAAACATTGAAATCAAAATGTGTCTCGATGAATTGCACGAGTACCTTTATAATTTTAATAAAATATTAATGTAATAAATAATATAATTCTCATAATTATTAGAACATAAATAATAATAATTGGAAAATAAAAACCAAAAAGAAACTCTTAAACTTATTAAAATTAGAAATATACTCATGCAGTCAATCAATGAAGGGTGATATATCTTAATTTTAATGTTTCGTTTTATTCTATCTATGTCAATCTTATAATACGATTTTGTACGTTTTAAAGAAATAAATAATGTTTTTATATTTGAATAGCACATAAATTTGAATACCCCATAAAAATTTAAAGGTATACCAATATTATCAAATCAATAATCTAAAAGTTCTCGTTCTTTATAATATATGTTTAATTCAACTTTCATTATGATTTATTTTAGGTTTATAACGATGTATTCATTTTAGACTTAATGATGTAATATTTTTTTATAAAAATAATAATTAAATATTCTGTTAGAACTCAATGATTATTCGATAATTATATTTTAAATTCCTTTATATTTAAAATGAAATGTTTATCATGTATATGATTATGTTTATCAATTAGTTATATGAATTCAAACATGCAACTTTAAGCCGTTATACTCATGCATCATTCACTTGTAATATTGAATTTTAAGTAATATGTATCAATAAACAGTAACCAATACATAAAAATAGTTTTCAAGATTGTCTCAAATACTTTATAATATAATACAAGTAACATTTCAATAAATTAGCTTATTCTTATTGACTATAACCCAAATCATAAAAAAATATCATGTTCATATGTGGTTTCTTGAATCATGATAGAAAGAATACAAAGATTCAAAGATGGTCAACCAAGGTCTCCTCAGTTGGATAGAGACATGGTAACAACTCACTAATGAGAATGAACCAATTCACTTTGCAAAATGTTTTGCAGACTTGCAAACTGCTATGCCAAAAATTTCCATTTATATTACATAATTTGACCTACTTTTCTTCTATGTTCAAGATCCCATTTTTTTCCAAGTACAGTTTGAGCCAGCTTCTGTTTCCCCTCTCGATTTAATCCGTAAAAGACTTGGCGAAAATTAACCGTGCTCGGAGTGATCCCAACACTTGGCATCTCAGATAAAAGCTGCATAGCTTCTTCAGACTTTCCCTCCTTACACAAACAAGAAATGAACATAGAATATGTTTTAAAATCTGGCAACGGCCCTTCATTTTTCATCTTATGGAAAACACTCCAAGCCTCAACAGTCTTCCCATTGCTCACATACCCGCGAATTAACGATGAATAAGTTACAATTGTGGGCTCACATCCCTCTTGTTTCATCTTCTCAAAAACCTCTAAAGCCTTGGAAACTTGTTTTTCTTTGAAGAAATAAACTAGTAATGATGTATAAACATGAACTGTTGGCAAGAATCTGACCTGTTTCATTGATTCTATCTTCTCCAACGCCTCCTGTAAACGCCTTTTCCTTAGTAGTCCATGAATCAGGCTTCCATATATGTATCCATTAAGGGTCTTTTGGTCTTCTTCGCCAACCTCGTTCGCCATTGACAAAGCCTCTTCTACCTTACCTGCTCGACAAAGAGCCCTAATACACAATGAGTAAGCCAATGGAGTGGAAAAACCATGTGCATATAAGTTCTTGGCACATTTTTTGGCTTCCAACACATTATCAACTTCACATAAACACCCAATATAGAATTCAAGCAATTCTTTGTCGGGTACGAATCCAGCTTGAGTCATCTCCAAGAACGCTTCTATGGCTTCATTGACCTTTCTGCCCTTTTTCCCACAAAGGGAAATGATCAAAGATTTGTATGTACTACTGTTTGGACTGCAACCGTTTTCCTTCATTTCTCTAAAAAATTTCAGTGCAATGTCCGTCAAACCTATTCGACCATATTGCAAGATCATGATCGTCCATGTGTCTGATGAAACCAACAAGCCTTTCCTTCTCATTTCATAAAACAAGCTTCTCATAAGCTTAAAATCTTTCCCTTGTCCAGAAATTTTGATTGCCATGTTATAGGTTTCCGCAGTGTGGCTGTAACCGTCTTTCTTTCCCACCCATGAGAAGAACTGCAATGCTGCACCACCATGGGGGCTGCAATTTCTCAGTATCTCGACAACTAATTCTGGTGTGATATAAAGATTGCATCTTTGTAAAGATTCCTCCTTTGAGCACCAATCTATCGCGGAGGATACAATCTTACAGGCTCTTTGAAGATCATGGTCAGTAAAAGACTTGACAGGCATGTTTGTTTCTAGAGAATCCACAACTTTTGGCTCTATCAGAATCAGGCTTGAATCAAGGGTAGTCTCATTTTGGTTCCCGCCATCTCTTTGGATCTGCTTCACTTGTTGTATCTTCTCCAATTCTCCTTTTTTACCCAAATGAGATATAATCCAGTTGAATATATCTTCTCCTATATCTAACTTCAAAACTTTCATATGATCCAAAACATTGATAGCTTCATCGGCTCTGGAAATCTTACAAAGTTCCTTGATGAAAACCATATAACATTTTCTAGTTAGCTTCATTCCTTTCTCCTCCATGCTTTTGAGCACTTCCCATGCTTCAGAAATACGGTTTTGTTGAACATAACCAGCAACTACAGCAGTTATTGCCACACTGTCCAACTCAAGCCCTGTTTCCAGCATCGTGTTATACAGATCAAATCCTTTTTCAAACTCACTCGTTCTAAAGAGGTGTTGCATCAGCTCTGTATAAGTAGACAAAGTCATTATTTGTCCACAATCTTTTAGGCTGTGAAACACTTGTAGTGCTTTAGAAACATTGTTTCTTCTCAAGTACCCATTGATAACAATCCCATACATCTTTTTGTCAACAATATCTCTTCTCTTTAATATATCAACAATTTCTAAAGCATCAGAGATCCTATCAGCATGACACATTCCCTTCACCAACATCTCAAAGTGTTCAGTCTCAATCACAATATCTTTGTTCTTCATATCTTTTATCACTTCCAACGCTTCTTTTATTCTACCTGAAATGCAAAAGCTCTTTAGCATACTAGTGTAAACTTCTTGTTCAGGGATTTGGGAAATCCTTATCATGTCATCGGCAATAACGTGGATGGCATCAATGTCTCCTGAACATGCTAAGCAATGTAATAACAGTTTGTACAAACTTGAATCTGGTTCCATTTCTTTAGAAACCATCTCCTTGTAAAACTCCATGGCAATGCTGGTTTTTTTACTACTACAAAGCGTACGCAGCATTACTTTATAAACTGCCAAATCAGGCTCAAAACCAGACTTCTTCATGTTCTCAAACAGCAACAAGACTTTCCCAATTGCGTTTGATTTCCCATAGTGAGAAATGAGAATAGTCCATGTCTTAATATCCTTCTTACACAAGTTCTTCTCCATCTCATCCAACAATTTTTCAACTACCTCAAACTTTTTAGATTCTCCAAGCACATAAATCATCGTATTGTAGGTTGCAGTTGTGACAAATGACTCATTCTTAAGCTTTATCCAATTGAAGAACCTTAAAGCTAAATCAGGCACTTTGAAACACCTCTTCAGAACTTTATCAACCACCTCAGAATCAAACTCCACATCCATATCATCCAACCGTTCCTCAATCGACGCTTCACCCTCTCCACCCCTTAAAATCTGAGTAACCTCGTGAACTATTGGACTGACATCCTTTTCAACCGTATGGGTTGTTCTAATCTCCAACTCTCGATTCATATTCGCATTTTCACGAACACCTTCTGTGCAATCCAAGGAATCTCCCACCATATCAACCCCTGCGTTCGTTAATGGAAACCGTTCAGCTCCATTGCTGTCCACGTTGAAGTTATGGGTTCCCAAAATTTGGGTGATGTCATCGAAAAGATTAGCAAAATCTTTATTTTCTTTTCCATTTTTTATCTGGGTTTCTTCAGTGTTCTTCCGATTTGGGTTCCGGGATGATCTAGTGACGAGTGAAAAACTAGAAGTCTGTAAATTTGTGACATGGACGGGCAAAAGATTAGCAATCGAGTATACTGCTCGAAATCTGACCAAACATTTCATGCCTCGAGCGGAATTCGCACAATGATAGGATACGGCTTTGGGAGTTTGGGTTTCAAAAGACAAATCCAACTTCAATTGACCCAATTAATATTTCTCGCTTTTTAAGGAATCAAAATTCATAAATTAGTTTCTATCTTAGTACTTATTATACTCGCATGATTCACTAAAAATATATCTAGATTTTAATATTTTATTTTATTTTTATATTAAATGATATAATATGTTTTTATGAAACTTTAGGAAAAAATATTAAATNAATCGAACCCTAACAGTAATTTAAATAACCAACTTACATAGACTGAACACACAGAAAGAAACCAAACTTTGAATATTAATCGAACCCTAACAGTACTTTGATTAACCAAAACACGCACAAATTGAACACACAAAAATAAATCAACACCGAAAAGAAAAAGAAATTACCTCAAGAGGAGCGATGGATAGAGAGTGAAACGGTTGAGAAATAAACACATTAATCCAGCACATGAATCATTAATCATCATACCGGGAACTTGAATCGTTCTTTCAGGATTCAATTTATGAATCATCACTTTGTTAACGGGAACGATGAGTGTATGCATATGAAGAGAGCCTCCATTTGATGAGAGTGTCTTGGAAGATTATATAATGATGCACTTGTTGGGTAGCATTAGTAAGTTGTAAATAAAGCATAGTATATTATAATTACGAGATTTTAAGGTTTTATATTTAAAACAGCAGTACATGGTGTTTAAAAATTTGTTTTCAAGACTTTGATAAATATGTTTTATAAGATATTATAGATGGTAACGATCATTTTGTTATATAACATAAATATGTAAACTAAATGTAATTACTTTGAATAATTGATTGTCATAAATATTGATTATAACATAAATTATTATTGTAGTCGTTGGTATTTGTTAATATATATAATAAGAAAATCGACTAAGAAATAAAAATAAAATTGACTCATTTAATAAATTTTTTGATTTATAAGCATTGTTATCTTACTGTTAAATTTTTTATTATGTTAAAAAATTAAAAAAAGTATATGTTTAAATAATAATAATAATAATAAAGATTGAAAATAATTTGAAAAAATGTAAGGTAGATAATATTTAATTTGTTAAAATAATTAGATATGTATTGATATATGGTTTCTAATTTAATTTTAGGATAAATTGTATGAAAAAATAACTTTAATTTGATTCTTATTTTGTGTGACGTATTTTGAAAACTTGCATTTTGGTTTTTAAGATAAAGTTTTAAACATTAAGTACCCGGATAACTGGTTGAAGCATAACCGGTTACCATGTTGATGTGACGATTGATTTGGTATCCAACTCAATATTATTTGCTATTCAACCCAATTTCATCTCATTACTCACCACATCAGCACGGTAACCGGTTAATGTTTCAACAAGTTATCCGGGTACTTAAATGTTTAAAACTTTATATCTTAGGTACCAAAATAGAAGTTTTGAAAGTACGTTACACAAAATAAGAATCAAGTCAAAGTACTTTATTTTTTCATGTAATTTGTCCTTAAATTTAATAGGAAAAAAGAAAAGCATTTGATGTGTTAAAATCATTTAAATAAATCTAAATTATGAGAAAAAAAAAAGATAATAATGAAAAAATCTTCTCTTTAAAAGTTAATTCAAGGCCTTCTTTTATATGTATGTATGTATAGAAAAATTTAAATAAGAAGGTTAACTATTTAAAAAAAATAAAAAAAATGTCGTTAATATATAAAATCATATGTGATAATATGGTCTTATGTAATTCTGAAAAAAGATGATCTTTTAATTTTGAACAAAATATAAATTTGAATATATCATAAAATTTTGACAAAAATATATCGATATTAGTATCAAATTAACTATTTAAAATTTCTCATATCTATGTGTAATTTTTTAATTCAGTTTTCTATTATAATTTAATTTAGGTTTTTAATAACATAATTTTTTATAAAGACAATAAATTGAAGTATTCAGTTAGAATTTAATGATTATCTTAATTATATTTTAGATTTTTTATATCTAAAATAAGATGTTTATTTTGTATATGGTTATGTTTATCTGTAGTTACCTACATAATAGAGTTTTGTTAAAATGTATTTATGCATAATTTACTTGTAATCTTGAATTTTAAGTAATATACATCAATAACAGTATTTCATGCATAAAAATTAGTTTTTAAGAATTTTTGATCTTTAATATGCATATTATCGGATAAGATTTTTGGTCCTGTTACGATTATTTGTAAGGCGAATGACATCCGATAAACATTTACCTAATAAGAGTTTAGTAAACGACTCCTTAATCCATATTTTATTTTTATTAATAAATATTCAATAAAAGGTTTTTTACTCATTAAAAATATCATGAACCGTAAAATCAACAAAATAATTCAGTTAGTTTTTTGAAATTGAAATATGTCAAATTTTACCAAAAATAAGTTGGTTGATTTCATGATTGAGAAGATAATCCAGAATTAACGATATCGAAAATACTTCAAGATTTGCCTTAAAGATTTATTTGGTAAGTTCCAACAGAAAACCCGTTTCTTTCCTCTTTCCCTCCCTTCCGATTCTCCCCCAAATCCCCCTATCCGCCATTGCAGCATGTAGAAAGCTGTTGAATGGAGGGTACACCACACAAATTCATACCTGAAGCAAACCCTTTAAACAATCAAAAAGACTTTCACAAGAGAATTTTCCTTTTCAAGGTTTTGCATGAAAACCTAACAAAACCACATAAACTTCACATTTATCGATCATATCCACCAACATTGCTTCCGTCAAATTTGCAATACGCCCCCTCATAATCTCCCCTCCAGTAACCAACATTATTCGGTATTGGGGTTCTATTGAAAATTTTCTTCTTCCTTGTTATATATGTTCATGTATGGCAAAGGTGATCTCTTTCCGATCTATCGGTTTATTTGTTCGTTTATACAAAAATGGGTGATTGTATAACTCGTATTTTGGATCGATTTGAAATGGGTTATCTTTGATTCGGGTGTTTCTATGTTTGTTTATGTTAATTGATTCATGTTGTAGAAACTGAAAAGGGATAGTGAACTGAGGACTAAGATACATGAATCTTTACTGTTGATAGCATACACCTTTTAAAGTCTTTTTAGGAGCAGTAGGATTGGAGTTAGATTAGATGGGAAACATATGTGGACCATCAAGGTGCTCAAAGCATGGATTTTTTGGATCAATATGGCATTCATTATGGTGGTCTAGATCCCCAGATTTGATCCAATATGAAAAGAAAAGAGCAAGAAACCAACGGCATCACAAAAATCACAAGGCTACTAGACCTGTCCAAAATGCACCTCCGCGAGTGCTGAATCTAGCGAAGGAAGACCCAAAACCGACCCAAGTTCAACCTGCGATTCCTTATCAAGAAATCAAAGAACATGGCAAACAATCTGGAAAGGTTGTAGTAGTGAAGCAGCAAAGCAAATCAACACAGCGAAATGTGACATCTGGTGCCCAAAATCCAGACCATAAGAGAAGAAAGTCAAGTGTAGGGCTTCTGGTTGATAAAGTCTTGAAAAATACAAATGGGCATTTGAAAGATCACTATAAGTTGGGTTTGAAACTGGGACATGGACAATTTGGTACAACTTCTATTTGCATAGAAAAGAAAACCGGGAAACAATTTGCTTGCAAATCCATTTCGAAGAGGAAATTAGTGACGGAAGAAGATGTGGATGATGTTAGGAGGGAAGTTGAAATTATGCATCACTTATCAGGACATCCTAATGTGATTTCAATCAAAGGGGCTTATGAGGATGCTTATGAAGTTCATTTGGTGATGGAACTATGTGCTGGAGGTGAACTCTTCGATAGAATTACCAAGAAAGGGCAATTTTCAGAACGTGAGGCGGCCCATCTTCTTAAGACTATTGCTAGTGTTATTGAGGCTTGTCATTCTTTGGGTGTAATCCATCGTGATCTTAAGCCTGAGAACTTTCTCTTTGTCAATAGGGACGAAGATGCACCTCTTAAAGCCATAGATTTTGGACTTTCAGTTTTCTTCAAGCCAGGTACCTTCTTCAATTATAATTGTTTCTATGAATTCATGTCGACATGCTCATAATGTTAGCTTACATCAGCTATAGTTTGAATGCTCTAAATGGTACTTTTTTAGAATAAGGTGATGAAAGTTACTTGGAAAAATCTTCTGATATGATACAGCCTAAATCGCAGGGGAAATTATTACCGATGTGGTTGGAAGCCCTTATTATGTTGCACCAGAAGTTTTACTAAAACATTATGGTCCTGAAGTAGACATTTGGAGCGCTGGTGTGATTCTTTACGTTCTTCTTTCTGGGGTGCCACCTTTCTATGGAGGTGTGACACAAGTTGCTGTAATTTTGTCAGTATTCTTTCTTTGTTTCTAGTTGATTTTGGTGTCACCCTTCTCCTTTCTTGTGCTTACAGAAACGGAGAATGATGTATTTAGGGAGATTTTGGAGGGTGAACTTGACTTCTCCTTCGATCCATGGCCTGTTATCTCTGGAAGTGCTAAGGATTTGATATCAAGAATGCTTCTTAGAGACCGTAATAACCGGATAACTGCTCATGAAATTCTTTGTAAGTCTATATCTCTCTTTCCCATGTTATTGCAGACGAGATTTGCCTATGAATGTAAACTTATAGAAATATGGAATTATGCCAATAAATAGGCATGTTTGTGTGTTTGTTCTAATAGCATTCTAAAAGTAAAAATATATGCAAGAAATTGAAGTCCACATGCGATTTTCTTACTTTCTTGATTCTCATCGTCATTGTTGTAGGCCACCCATGGATCAGCGTAGATGGGGTTGCTCCAGACAAGCCTCTTGATCCTGCAGTGTTGACTCGCTTAACTCAGTTTTCTGCCATGAACAAACTCAAGAAAATGGCTCTTAAGGTATGCACTTACAGAATTTTATGGGCTTATGGCTTAATGTTAGAAATGTTTGTTGAGGTCCCCAAATCATGAATGGACACGGGTTTCTCTGTTGCATCAAGATGAGCTTACGAGAATATTTTCTCATTGCAAAATTTTGAACCATTTTAGTTGCTGGATGCAGGTCATTGCATCAAGACTCTCTGAAGAAGAAATTGCTGGACTAAAGCAAATGTTTAAGACAATCGATACAGACAATAGTGGCTATCTTACTTTTGATGAACTGAAAGATGGGCTGAAGAGTTATGGTGCCGATCTTGATGAGTCAGAGATTCATGATCTGATGCAAGCCGTAAGTATCATCTTACATACCCTTTTGCTGCCTAGGTTTATTAGTTAAGAAATAAAGTTGATTATTGACAAATATTGAAGTACAGGCGGATATCAATAACAGTGGTACTATTGACTATGAAGAATTTGTAGCTGCAACCTTGCATTTCACGAAAGTGGATAAGGAGGATCGGTTATTTGCTGCTTTTTCATATTTTGACAAAGATGGCAGCGGTTATATTACCCTAGATGAACTCCAACAAGCCTGCAAGGAGTTTGGAGTTGACGACATCCATTTGGATGAAATTCTCAAAGAAGTTGATCAAAACAATGTAAGTCTTTGCACTCGAGATGGAGATCCCCTTTTGTCCTTTTTCCATTAACATCGTTTGTTTGGTTTTGCAGGATGGTCGTATAGATTACAGCGAGTTTGTTGCAATGATGCACAAGGGAAGTGGCAATGTGGTAAGAAATCAATCAAAGAACAACTTTATCATCGGATTCCGGGAGCCGTTGCCGGTTCGTTGATCTCAAGTTTCCATTTTCTTTTTTTGCAAGTGAGAGAGGGTTAAATATGAACTATGTATGAGATAGTTCAGTAGGTGATAACAAATGTACAGAGCATAGATGGGGTTAATTCATCAATTACATGAGCACATGTTGTTGTGTTGCTAATAAATGCACACATGGATTGCTTTTGGTTTGGTTAATATTGTTGAAAGACAACATGTGTGGTATGTTTTTCTTTTGGTTCCTTAATTTGAATCCTTGGACTATGCCTTTGCATATGTTGACTACATGCTTCAATTGTCTTAGCAACAACACATAATGACAACATCCATAGGATTCATACTTCCAAATCTTAATCATGACCCATACTATTTTATAGATTATTGAAACAATAACTCTTAAATTTCAACAGTATAATTGTAAGATCCTACATCTGTTGGGAAGTGGAACAGAGGTTGTGTTATAAAGGATTAGATACACCTTTATCAAATACATTTTAAAACCGTGAATCCATGTATGGACAAAGCGGATGATATATGGCAAGATTAATTACAGATGTTACTGATATGTCAACGAAGACATTGGGCTCCAAACGGGAATAAAGGTTGTCGGACTGAATACCTCTTTATTGTACTCAATTATGATGATCCACAAAATACTTTTAGTATCATATATGAAAATCTCAAAAAAATTGAAGACTTTGTTACAAATTATGGGTTTGTTTTGTAAAATATGAATATAATCAAAACAAATTATTATCATTTATTATATAATAAATTTAAAGATAAATACTAATAATGTATTTTGGGAAAATATGGAATAACATTTAATTTTATAACGTTAACTGACCAGTTTACCCTTGATATGAGCTGGCAGCACATGGGTGTACACGATACAGGCTTACACATACACCAACTAATAATTTTGATTAATTATGAATCAATGAACCAAAGTGGCTCAAGGTTATTTTAGTAAGATGGAACATAGCTCTTGTAACTCATGCTACAAATGCTTGTACTTTATGTAGTGAAAGGTGTACAAATGGCTAAAACATATTTACCAATCCACCTGGGATAGGGGCATATTGGTCATTTTTTATGAAGTTTACCCCCCAACCCCAGCTTCTTCATCCATGATCCCCTCCACTGAAATCCTCTCTCTCTCTCTCTCTCTCTCTCTCTCACTCACATACACACATCAAGACTCCATTTTTATAACAGCATTTGAATTTCAAAGCAGAATCTTTGTTTTCTGCACAAATCAGACACTTAAAACTTTCATTCAAGCAAGGTATGATCGACTCTTTCCTTGTGAATCTTTGACATCTTTTTTATTAAATTGCTCTGATTTGTCTCAGTACTTTGGCAGTTTTCAACATGTGGGTTTACTGTATTTTGCCCAATTTTCGATACTCAATTTTGTTGATCTTTGTACTGATTTCACTAGTGATAATTGAAATGTTAGTATGAAAGTGAGTGTTGTTATCTGATGTCGGTTTCTTTATGCTGAAAATGACGACGATGGCACTAAAATTCCCCCAATCTGAGAATTTTCAAGGTTTCAAAACCTTAAATCAATGAAATCGATCTGGTTTTTGTTAAATCTTGTTCAATTGAAATCACAAAAGTAAATGCTCAAACGAATTATAACTCACTATGCAAGGATTTGTTAGTTTGGATAGCAACATGATTTGAATTTGTGTTACTACTTACTTCTTATGTCAGAAATTCGAATAGGGATGGAATCTGGCAATGGGGTTCATATGGAAGACGAAAACGGTGCTATGAATGTGCAAGAACAGGGAGAGAATGTGGAAACCATTCTGGTAGATCACGAGAATTCGAATAAAGTTGAAGAAGGCCTTGAATCATCAAGATTGGGAGTAAGTGAATCTTCTGAGATTGCTAGTGGCACTAAAATGCCAAATTCTGTTGAGGTTACTACTAATGGGGGTACTTCAAAGAACAGTAAAGTGGCCAAAAATGGGACTAAAGGCAGTCTATTGGCTCGTAAGCCGAAACCCCATCTTACTCAAAGTTTATCTATCCCTGCTAAACCTCGAAACGTTGATTCCATGAGAACTAGCATGGATGGGCACCCTGGGAAGCCACGAGCTGCATTGTCAAATGGAAATGGCACGAATCCTGCCAATAGAAGAGCTTCCACTGGAGTGAAAACAAAGGAAATGAGTGCAAGTGATGGTGGTGCATCTACCCGACGAGCTACTTTGGATTCGTCTCCAAGTGTGCAAATGTCACGGGTAAATTCCTTTTCTTGGTAGCCTTTGTTATCTTATTTGTATTTATTGTTGTTTATTTGTTTGTTTCAGAGTAAGAAGTCTAATGGAATTGAAGATCCCCCTCCTGCAGATCCCTTGTATGTTGATTCACCATTCTACTTCATATTTTGATTAACTTCTGAGTTGATTTGTTTGTCGACGTTGAATATCTTGTTGCTAATGTTTCATTGTTCGGTTTCTTTTATATGGATTTCAAGAATTTGACTTTTTCATGGATTTATCTTCATGATTAGAAGTGTTGCCCCAAATGGGCAGCATAAGAACAGTGTATTGGGCTTTTCTTTTAGGTTGGATGAACGTGCTGAAAAGCGAAAAGAGGTTCATACTTAAATCATTTATATCCGTGTGGCTTTCATAACTTTCTTGACATAATTCGTATATTAATCATGTTGATTGTCGTGTACTAGTTCTTCTCAAAGATAGAGGAGAAGATTCATGCAAAAGAAGCAGAAAGAACCAATTTGCAAGAAAAATCAAAGGTTTGGGCTCGTGAAATCTTTAATCGTTAAAGAATATGTGGAATTGGATCGCTTTAATCAGGCGACAAAGACTATACTTTTAACTTGTCTAGTTGCAAATGCAGGAAAGCCAAGAAGCGGAGATAAAGCAATTGAGGAAGAGCTTGATGTTTAAAGCTGCACCAATGCCAAAGTTTTACAAAGAGCCACCCCCTAAAGTTGACTTGAAGAAGGTATTTAAAACATCCTGACTTTAAAGACATGCCACAAGCCTATGTTCATCGAACTTTCCATGCTTAATTTCAAACATTCATATTTTGACAGCTTTGTGCATTCATCAACTTAATACTTCTGATAACCATCTCATTACAAGCTTATTAATACAACAAAACTGCAATCTTTTGTGATTTCTACTAACCATCATAGTTGCTGTTGCTACACTTAGGACACAAATAGCAAGACTTAATCTAAGCAAAAGCTCGATACTAAGATTTCTCCATTTCCTTGAGGCCCGCACGACCTTCGACTATATTCCTAAAAGGCATGCATTACTTACTTAAAGTATGTGCATAAGTAAAACTTTTCATAGAACATGAATAGGTAAGCCTTAAGAACGGTTCAAAAGTTCTTTAGGTAATATATGAGTTTATACTGGAATCTTGAAACATCTCTTAACTACAAAAAGTTTGGGGACTGCACCTGTTAGCCGCTCCCTTGATATGTCAGACTTCGCTGCTGTATTCTTTCCTTTGTTGATATGTTCAGCAAGAATCATATTGTTCCTTTGATACGCTCACGGAAAAACGTACCTTTTTCTTTTTTAAGCATTCCCTGAGAATTGTGTCCTTAATTTTACTATGATAGTTTTCACGAAGAACCATATCCTTACATTCTTTATCTATACGTCAAGCGTATTGTAACTTTCTTTCTGCAAACTCCAAAGAGAACACCAGACAAGCCAGTTTTTCATAAAATCACTTTACCACAGCTTTCTTTCTCGATAAACACTTTAGTCGTAAATCCTTTTTATGTACTATGCACATTTTGTTCATAGTTCTACATCTCACAATAATGTAAAACACAGTGGCCTTTTTCAGCTTTTCATAGGAACCTCTTGTCATAGATCAGTTTTGCACTAAACATTTCCTTACATCAAAGTAGCAAACATTTCATGTTTGAAAATAATGCATACACTCACCTAGCATTGAGCAAACTTTCTCTTTTTCACACACATTTCACAAGCGAGGGTCTTTAGGGAAAGAGCCCTTCTCCTCTTCGGGGTACAGGATATGTCTACATACATCAGCCCCCAGACCCTACTCCCGGGTGGGATATACATGGTTCATTTGGTTTAGTTTACTCATCTAGCAGTGGTGCACCTTCCCCCCTTTGTACTCGACTTTTATTGCCCTAAATACAAGAGGCTTTTCTATTCAAACAATTTCACATAAGTGAAGCTTCTTGCTTACTTAAAGTGGTACCATGATTTCCTTTTCACTTTCAAATATTTAATTCCTTTAACATCCAATGAGCTTCTAAACCCCTTCAGTATAACCCTAAATTTGCAACATCATCACTGTATAGACTTGTGATGCCTTATTAGTAGCACCTTCTATTGCAAAAAAAAACATTCCACCAACTTAAATCCGAAATCTTTGTGGTTGCAACTCTAAAGGAAACTTAATTTATCAAGAAAGTATTAAGAAAAGCTTCAGAAAGCAATTAATTTGAGAAATCAAAAAATTGCAGTTTTGAAAGTCTTTTGACACATTAAAAGGGCTATGATACAGTTAACTACCTACCATAGCCCCGTAAGGCTACGCTACCCTTCCAGCCATGACCTTACATCTTTAGGAAAATACTCGCAGAAAACTAGAATAGTTTCTGGTTTGAATTGGTTTTCAACCTTTCTAAAACAAATTTTAAGAAACTTGAATTTAAACCGTAAAACTCAACATGCAAAGAGGCTTTGAACCATGACAACTACACTCACCTTCTTGATTTCTTTCTGGATCAATAAGACTTTTAATTCGTTGCTATTTCTCAGATTAGATAAAAGATTGATCTTATACTTCTTAATTAGTCCACAAATTGGAATACCAATTCGTATTATACCTATCTACTTAACTCTCAAAATGTATTTTACACTGCAAAGTATACAAAGGAATATTCTATTCCCTTCAAGAATGCGACATGGAAATAAGGGTATCATTTCAAAAAATTTGCCTAGACAAAGTTTGTTGTGCCGATGCAGTTTGACTTTTCAGGACCAATGATCTAGTTTTTGACTTAAACATATAATGATAGACTCTAAACATTTCTGAGGCTTTGGCCATTCATGCAATGTAGGTTATTACGGCACTTTTGAACAATTTGAGCAAGCCCAGCTGGGCATTACTTGCTGTTTTGCTGTTTCAAGGTTTCTATGATCTACAAGTCCTTATGAAATCATGACTTGCACTTAATTATTTCATCTAAAAGTTTCAAGAAATCTATGTTGGACGTTGAGTTTCTTTCTTTGAAAAGATAACCATAGCTTCTTTGGTGTTTGAGGGTTGAGGAGGTAAGCGATGCAACCTTCATGTCACAATTTGTTTACTGTGATCGCAACCCATATCATTTGGTTACAAAGGAGCAACCTTGCACCTCTGATTGCTTACAGAAGCATATCTGTAGTAATGCTATCACCCCTTTCTATCTAATTTACTTGTTATAAAAGACGATTAAAGAAAACCAAATATAGGAAAACTGTTTCTGCTTTCTGGGCAATGGCTTTTCTGATATCTGGAATGCACCCTTGTATCTGTTGGATTCAATGAGTTAAGAATTCCACTAAATATATTGCAATAGGTGTATTTTCTAGGGTGTGTCGTGTTGGATATGAAGTCTCATTTGGACTGTGAATTGGTGTATAACTTCATTAATCCAATTATTTTTCTGGCTTTTTTTTATTGGAAGAACGTAGTACCAAATTCACAAATAATATAGCAATTGATCTAAATCTTATTTACATGTACTTTGTATATGTAGATACCAACAACCCGCCCGAAATCTCCCAAGCTGGGCAGGAGCAAGACCAATATGGCTGCAGCCAGCAATGGAACCTCTGTTAGCCCACCTAATGTCAGTGCAACAAACAGCAACCAAGAAACTGCTGCTTCCAAGAAACCGATCAGAAAATCTCAGTCCAAAACCTCATCCTCAAAAACTGAAGCCAAACCTGGAAAGTCAAAGGAAAAGCCCGTGAAAGAAGTCCAAGAAGAGGAGAAAGCATGCCATGAAAGCCCATCTGCAAACCCTGCCGAAGTTGAAGGTTGTGTAGAAATCAATGCTGAAAAGAACGCAGTGCCTGTATTGAGCCCACCAACTCAGGATACAATGCCTGCCGACATCGTTGTTGGAGGTTAAACCATGTGGTAAGCTGTATAATATCTGTATCTAATAGGTTTGTTTTTTCTGTTTTTCAAGTTGTTGAGGTTTCTGTGTTGTGAATAGAGACTGTATGTTACTGTGACATGTTCAATTATCTACTGGTTTATATGATGGTTGTATGAATCTTTCTTTCTTTAAATCCAAAGTTGTAAAATTTGCAGAAACTGTGGTTGGTTCGTATGGAATTGGAATGCATTATATATATACATCATATTCTCAATTCTTTCTCACTAAAGTTTACAAGTATACTAAAATGCATCATATACATATACATATACATCATCAGTTGTGTTCCAAGGACTATTTATGTAATGGGGTAGAGATATATAGGGAAAAAGGGTAATAACTATAAAAAGGGTGGCCAAAATTGGGAAAAAGGTTAAAAAAGAAAAAAGGAGCCAGCTAAGTCCTAGTTGGTTCTGTTCATCAATCATCAATCATCAACCTAACAGAAGTACATTCAACTAAATATCTGAATTTATTTAAATAATTAAAATTGTCTTGACCGTAATTTAAACTTCTTATATGTAACTTTAATTTGTAGATATTAATTGTTTTGATAAATTATTAAAAGGATGTATCAGAATAAATTTCTTTAAAAATTAAATGGGTTTTTATAGAATAATTTGTAGTTTTTGGTGCATGCATCTTTTTAGTTAGCAGGTCATTTGGTCTTTCAAAAATACATATTTCTTTCTAATCAATGGATTTAAATAAAATATTTCAAAGAGAATGGTTGTGATGTCTTATTCCCAATTAAAATTTAAAAAAATAAAAATAAAAGATTGACTTTAATATTTAATAAATATGAGAAGGACGAGGGCATTGCTGTCCAGCAATAAACCATTTTCAAAATAAATTTAACTAAAAAACAAAAATACATTGTAATTTTTTTTAGCTATGTGTTTTATAATATTTAACTCAAAAAAAGGACTAAACTCTCGATTTCTTTCAAGATTTAATTTTGTTTTTAGCTCCGAATACTTCCACTGTGAAAGTTTTGGGTTTTAATTATATTAAATAAATATGGTTGTGACGTCTTTTTCCTAATTTACAATTTAAATAAAATCGAGTTTAATATATGAAAAAGGACAAAGGTATTGTTGCTCCAACAATTTTAATGCTGTATGTATCATTAATAGCCCAGAAACAAATCAATAATTAAAAAAATAATTTGTCTTTATATTAAAAATTTTAGAATTTAATTATTAATTATTTTGGAATAAAGGGTTTTTTTTTTAACAAAAATCAAAAATGGAAAAGACACAAGACAAAGAATGATGCCACAAGTTTTGACCATATACAATTTCCGCAAAAATCAAACATAAATACACATAAGAAAAAGGAAAAAAAATCACTTTTCACTAATTACAGTATTTATAATAACACCATAAAGAAGAAAAAAAGAATTGGAAAATTATTATATATAAAAAAGAAAGTTTGTTCTGATCTGATTTGATTCTCAGGGGAAGCTTCCTTGGATGCCAAACTTCCCTTTATGTGCTGCTGCCTGCTATTTGCCACACAATTTTTCTAATTAATCAAACCATTTTTTATTACGTTTTTATTTAATAACAATAATAATCAATCAAATACCCACCTTTTTCTTTTTCTTTTGTTTTTGCATATACATATATATATGTGTGTATATATATATATATATATATATATCATCAATAACAGGTTTTAAATCGAGAATCTTGTCCCAATGCTCCAGCAATCGAACATGCCACCTCCATTAACCTCCCTGCATTTACCAAATACTAATTAGATGCAATTCTATATCTCAACTTGTGGTTTCCAAGATCAAGAAACTACCTCTAATTAATCAACCAACTTCAAAAAGACTAAACCCTTTTCTCCCACTTCAAATCCCATCACTTTTTTTATATATCAAACAAAAGTTTCTACTTTTAAACTACCCACAAGATCAAATTACCAAAATCTTGGCTGATTAAGCAAGCAAAGTCATGATTAAGCCATAACTTTATTCCAATATATACAAACAAAAGGTTCAACCTTTAGAATAGTTTCTGCACCAAGTTTTGTGTCTGTCTAACACTAATTACTAATCATATTTATTCATGTCATCAACCTAATTATAAAGCTAGCTCAACCGTCAATAAGTCGCCACCGGTTCTACTCCTGCTAGACCACTCAGGATTCCTTGAGGTGCGAACAAACTCGACGGTTAAAAATAAAACCTAATTCTTGGTATAAAGTTGTACCTTATGTTACGATAATTGTACCATCAAAAGGGGTGGTCTATTCTTTTATGGGGTATAAAGTCGTATGAGTGCAATCGACGCGGTGGAATAATTCCATGTGACCCACCACCACAGACAACCACCACTCACACCGACAACCAGTCACCGGAAAATTTCACGGCAGTAAATATTAAGAGGAAGAAAAGGTACCTCTCCTTTGCTTAGGTGCCGCCTTAGTCATGGCAACCTTGCTCGCCGGTTTTTCCGTCGTTTCTTCCACCGGCATCAACACCCCATCAATACCCTGAACGGATATCCTTCCATCGGTGTAAATATCTGGATCAAACAAATACGCCGATCCCTCACCTTGCCCGAATTTAACCGACCCATCGGCCTCCTCCGCCACCACTTTATGCGGCAACCGCAAAGTATCGTACTGAACCTTTCCGAACCGCCTTACGGAATTATACATACTTTCTTCGGTTTGATACTCCGGTATCAGATGATAGTACATTATCTGCTCCGGTGCACCTGGATCACTCAGCTGGTCGGTGGTCAATTTAGCCATGGCTTCATCGTTCGGTGCCAACACTGTTAGAACATAACCTTCCGACACTAACCTTCCCATCTCCGTCGCTAACGACGTCAAATTGACTAAAATGTCTGCTAATTCGTTATATCCTCCGTAATGTACAAGGGTTTGGATGAAATCTTTCACCTGGCTCTCGCCGTCGAAGTGGTGGCGTGGCCCACCGGGTCCCGGGGCTGGAGCCGGAGCTAGGGAAGGGCCAGGCGCCATTGCGTCGTAAATAGGGAGAACCGGTGGAGCACCTGCAGGAACCGGACTAGCCGGTTTTTTCAATCGATGGGTTCTCGGATCCACAACCGGAGCACCTTCCGGTAAAACAGCAGAAATGGAAGTCAAACTCCTTCTCCGGTTAAAATCTTCTTGCACTGATCGAGGCACCAACAATCGCTCGATCCCGTGAATCAATCCATCGGGTCGAATAACATCATCGGGACGGGTCACTCTGGCTAGACCACCTACTATCTTCTCGCCGGAATTTCCGCGAGTCAACGGCAAATGGTTGTCAGCTTCGTCGACACAAAGAGTTTTATGCGGAGCTACTACCGATCCAACGTCCTCGCCTGGCCACTCTTTTGACCCGACCCGAGACGGAATGATATGAAAAAGCAACAGATTCTGTAGCGATTTGAGATTGCCAGGCTCAAGTAAAAAGCGCTTGAACTCTGGATCCATCTGCCTTTCAAGAGCTTCGTTGTTGGGCGCAAAAATGGTGATATTGTGACGCGAAACCGCTTCTTCAAGGGTCTGTAGTAGAAGAGCTTTCTCAACGAGTTCCGATAGCTCAGTGTAGTGAGAATCGAGAAGCGCAACAAGAACTGAATTGGAATTGATCTGGGTGGAGTTAGATTTAGGGGTTTGATGCTGCAATGCAGTTGCAATATGGATGGATGTAAGAAGAAAGGCGTAGAATATAAGCTTGAATGCACCATAGTTCAGAGAACCCATGATGCTAAACTGAAAGAAAGATCAAAATAAGAAAGAATCAAAAATCAGAAGGAGAAGATGATTTGCATGTGGGTGTTCCTTCTCTCTCTCTCTCTCTCTAGGAAATATGATGAGTGAGAGTAGGTTTATGGGGTTATGATATGATGAAAAGGGAAGATGGGTTTTTGTTTGGGGATTAAAAGAGTGGGGGAGACAGGACAGGTGGTGAAAGGAAAGAGAAGGTGTTGAAACGGCGAAGGATCATGTCGTTTTATGAGTTAGGAATAGGAATAGGAAGAGAGGGTGTGGGGTAGCCCAACAGCCTGGATGTAGGGACCACACGTGTGGAATAAAGCATACTTTTCATACGGCTTGGCTTGGCTTCAAAAAATCCGCATACTGTTATTATTTCTCCCAATAAATAAAATCTCAAATCAAACATTTTATATTCATTATAAATCACGTAAAACAGCAGAGTGATTTTATAAGCTTTAAATAATAACAATAAATAACTATTAAGGAATTAACAAACCTAATTCTAATTTTTGTTAATAAGATTCTTTTTTATAATAAATCGTTTCTAATAAAAAATAAAATCGAATATTAAATTTATAATAAAAGTTTTTATTTAAGTTCAATAGCCATTGAAAATGTGTAATTGTAGTTGTCAATGAATGCGTCATCATCAAATTAATAATAAAAAAGTAGCAAATTACTTTTTTAATTTTTATACGTATCATATTAAATTTGATTCATATTATAAATTAAATAGATTTTTAATTTATTTCACTTTTGGTGGTTGTTTACTGTAACTCTAGTTAGAAAAAGTCAATTAATTTAAAATTATTTTGGTTTTTTACTTTTTTTTAATTAGATTATATAATATATATTAGATTATATTTGATATTTTTATAGCTAATTAAAATTAAAATATTGTTTTCTGAATTTTTCCACACAAATGTAATATTTAATATTTTTTAAGTTAATTTTTTAGTAAACTACAAATTTGGCCATCGTGGTTTGTCGGAAATAACACTTTTTATCCTACATTTTCTAAATTACACGATGACTATTGTAGTTTTGGAAAACGTCTGGATTTTGTTCTCTCTTTCTGACGACCAATAAAAAGTTCCGTTAAATGTGGGGAGTTTTTGTTCATTCGTTTATTTTCTTTATCTTTTATCCAATCAAAATCGATTTTATGATTTTGGTTTCCTTGGTTTTTGATTGGGTAAAAGACAAAAAAAAAAAAATCGTTCAAAGGACGAAAATATCTCTCACTTAACAAAAATATTAACGATCGTTAGAGTGAAAGACCAATTGTGATGTAATTTTGAAACTCTAAGATCGGAAAAGTACCACAAGGACTAAATTTGTAGTGTACTATAATATTTTACATATCTGATTTGTTAACCATTTAAAAATCTACATGCTTATTAAAAATGGATAGATTAGTATATTTTATTTTAGGGGCCGTTTATTAAATGCTTACTCGGTAGGTGTTTATCGGGTAATTTTTTTCACCGAATGAACACGGCAAGACCCAAAAATCTTACCCAGTAAGAGTAATCATAAGGATAGAGAGTCTTACATGGTAAGTGAGGGTAATAACTCTTACCCGGGTAAGTGTTTACCAAGTAAATTGTTGCATATCATTTCATTTTAATGTACTACGATCTTATCCATAAAATAAATTATAGTGTTGACTTATAACGGTAAATGTTTACCGGGTAAGCATTTAGGTAAACAACCCCTTCGTAATAACAAATTTAATGTATAAAGTTAATATATACACATAAAATGAATATATGGGGTCATACAAAATCAAAAGTCGTTGGAAAGAGGAATGACGAAGTGGAGTGGTGGTTGCGGCTACGACACATAATAACGACGATGTGTAGTGAAGTAAATTGGAGTAAAGGAGGGACAACGTGCAATCTGGAGGTGGAAAAGAAAAGAAGGATAGGTGATGGTAACCCGGAGGAAGAAATATGAGTTATGATAGGACTTACGGTTTTCAATTTATGAATCATATTTTATTTTAGGTATATTTATTAATTTTATATTTTTAGTCTGTCGTTCATAAAATAAAATATACCAAGTTATCTATTTATGAAAAACATATAAATTTTTAAATGATTCGCATATGTTAATCAGACAGTTAATATGTTATTTTAAAATAAACATTAATAACTAAACTTATAAATTAAACACAAAATAACAATTATCATGAAAGTTACTTTTAGTCCACAACTTAAAACTCACAAATCTATATATATATATATATATATATATATATAAGTAAGTAAGTAATGGTAGATCTAAAAAGTATGTTAAGCGAACGTATATATCAAAGGTATGTAAAGACGTCTAATATGTTTTTAGTTGAATTCTATCGTTTTCGAGATGATTTTTTTTTGTTTTTGGTTAATTTCAAGGGGCCTTTCTATTTTTGGTTGATTTTCTTTGCATTTTTTAATATTATGGAGCATTTCTCAAAGTTTAGTGTGTGCACATTTCATATATAAAAAATTACTTACAAAAATCGGTTGAACATATACTCAGTACCCAGCTGGGACCTTCGTAGGCTTGCCCCTATATGTAAGGGGTGTCACAACGAATCTCATGAAACTCAACTTTAACTCAAAAAACATTGTTTTGTTTGTATTTTGGATACACGTATTTGAATAGCGGATAATTATTGGAGATTCATGTCCAATATGTATACTTAATCGTCTTCGAGGGACTATTTTAGTGTGTTGTGGGGGCACAATTGGCACGTATATTGCACAACCAAATATGCGTGAATGTGAAATATCATATTCATATCCAGTTATCAACTTGTACGCAGAAAATGGTTGGGTAGCAGTGGGTCTACAGCGAATAAGTAGTGTTGAATGTAATATCGCATAACCCGATGCAGAAGTGGGTGAATTGGTGCACATAACCAATGTCGTGGCTACCATCTGTATCCGTAGTAGTTTTTGCAAGATCATGTTGTGTATGCACATGGGAGTACGGGATGCTCTACATCGATCCCAATAAACACGCAATAATCATCACATGATTGCGATGTAAATTCTCCACCATTATCAAGTCGTACAGACTTTGGTCTTTGTAGGATAATCATGGTAGTGAGCCCTCAAACGTATAATTTGTGCCAAGAGTTTTGCGAATGCGTAGTTTCATGTGAACAATAGTGCGGCATGCGTCCATCGTGTCGATGCGTCAGCCAAAACGATAAAATAATTTAATGGTCTGCATTCTGCATGTTTCAATAATTTTAATCTTCCAAAAATGATTAAATGAATTGAAAATTATAATTAGGATAAACATTTCAATATAATATGGATAAATCAATTTAAAAAAAAAACATTTAAATAAAATATTCACATAATCTCATTCAAATACGATATTATATCTATAATTGCAGATCTATCTATTAAATAATAATAAATATGATTTTGAAGCATAAGAAATCTTCATAAAATTATATATATCACAAATTGGGGAAAAAGTTATGGATAACATTTAAAATATTTGTGAAATCTCAAAATATTAATTTTGAGAAAATTTCAAGCGTATTAATCTCAAATTCGTTGTTTATTTTTGAAATATTATTATATATGGAAATAAATTATTTATAAAATGATGGATGGTTTATAACCAATATATATAAAAATTATGTGGAAAATCAATTTAAAAAACTAAATAAACATTTAAATAAATCAATTATTATATCTAACAACAATATATTAGTCCGACTTAAGGGTGTGTTTAGTACGCAGACTACATGGGACGGGACGGGACAAAAAAAATAGTCTCATGTTTGGCATGCCATGGACAAAATAAATTAGGGTATAAGTAACATTGATATAATTTTATTAATGCTCGGGGAAAAAAAATTAAAAACCAATTGAATATTATCATGAGATAACAAAATTTTGATTTTTTTTTTTTTGTGTCTCTGACTCTTGTGATTTATCAAAAAATGATTCCATTTTTTTTAATTGTTTTTTACGGCTAAAATAAATAAAAGCAAACAATTGTTTAATTTAAAGAATTATATTGAAATCACTATGAAGTCAAATATCAATTTTAAAAAATATATTTTAGTGCAAATCCCTTTTTTTTCCTTTTATGTTAATATCAACTCCGGGTTTTTTAATCAAAAGTAGATAATTATGAATTCAATTCGGTTTTAACAACAAAATATAACAAAAAGATTTTAGAGATCAAATAAAAAATAAACTGTATTGTTCTTTAAACACGAACTTTAAAAAATTAACATATGAAAAACCAAATAGCGAGAACATCATTTTACTATAGACAACCACATGTGATACTATTATTCCATCACATGTGATACTATTATTCCATCACATATGATACATATATGATACTAAATCAGAGACGCGGATGATTTTTCATGTGATATTGGTTGCGGGTCAAGTCATCCTTACACCACTAATCCCCCTCACAAGTATTATCACATGTGATAAGGTTGTTGTTGATATGATACTAGTAATCCATCAAGACCATCACATGTGATGCTAAATCATAAACGCATACAACTTTTGGCGTTGCCTAAGTCGTAGAACACATCGTCCACACATAACAGGGTCCCCTCATGCGTATTATCACATGTGATAAGAGTGTTCTCGCGTTCTCATAAAATGGAGGTGTTCTCGTTTGAACCTCAATCTCTCTCTCTCTCTCTCTCTCTCTCTCTCTATATATATATATATATATATATATATATAAAGAAATAGAGATGTTTACTTGAATTGAAGTAGTGGGAAGCAAGCCATTCAACAATATCAGGGAATGGAGTACATAGTTGTTTACCAACAGGCGACAATGATAATAACAATAAATCTGAGCATACGTGCTGATAACGTGTTATAAAAAATTGGAAAAATCAAGAATAGAATGGAGAAAATGAATCTATATTTCTCATTAATTAAAAGCCTTTTAAATAGATATAGAATACAAGTAGATAGTTATGATAAATATTAGTT